ACCCCTTCATCGTGTTGGTTGCAAGGTTCTTATTTGTTTGTGTAGGTACGAGGCAACTTGCGTGTAGTCTCCTACTGGATTGATATCTTGGTTCTCAAAAACTGAGGGAAATACTTACGCTACTTTGCTGCATCACCCTTTCCACTTCAAGGGAAACCCAACACAATGCTCAAGAGGTAGCTGTTATCATTGACCTTGTCGATGGCAGCTGAGAAGTCTTCGTGCATGTGCCCCTAAGGACCGGCGCCCTGGAGCCACAATCGTCATCGTTGAACACTTGAATAGATCTGAAACAACTGAATTTTTTTTGCGGACATGCATAGGAAGGAAAAATAGTACAGAGTGTCCAGCGGCAGGCCGCGTTTACAGGGGATGATGCAACTGTGCCTGGCAGGCAAGAAGAATGTCGCACTAAGAAAGACAACGCCCTACAAAGGAGAGGAAACTATCTCCAAATATGATCCAACCCTTTTGCTCCAGAGATCTTCCACGACCTGGCTTCCTCTTTGATACGCCGACAAAGCTCCCGAGCTACGACCGTTGAGTGTTGAAAGACACGGTTGTTGCGCTCCTTCCACAGCATCCACACGATGAGGATGGCCACAGAGTCGAAACCCTTACACTGCGCACGAGGAATTAGATCACGACTACCCGACCGCCATTCGATGAGCGAGTCGTTAGGTGCCGAAACGAGATGGCCTAACCCGCAATGAGCAAGTGTCGAATGCCACACCGCCCTAGCATAGACGCATCCCAAGGCAAGATGGTCCGCAGTTTCCGCCACCTGGTCGCACAGTGGGCACATGACATGGGACGACATATGCCATCCTGTAGACGTCGGTCGGCCGTGCAGCGCCTCCTCTGCATGGCCTAAGAAGACGTCAGGAATCTACGCCGGAGCTCCATCGAGTATGTCCAGGTGGACGAACTCGAGGAGGATCGAAGACGGAAAACAAACTCGAAGAAGAAGCGTCGCCATCCACCCGAGCGCCGCACTTGCGGGGACTAAAAAACCCTAACCTAAACTGCTAACCAGACTGAAGGCACCAGAATTCCCCTTCCCGCCACAGGCCGCCGAAGCAGCAGGCAGAGGGGAGGCGAATCCATGGGCTCGCCGGTGAAGTTTGAGGGGAGAGCTTGCCCTAGCCGTGAAGGGACGGAGGGGCTTTACGCTATTTTGCAGGGACTCGGTTATAAATTCAACTACTGACTAGTGGGCTCCATATCTAACATGTTTTTTTAGGGAATCTGTTCTGCGGGAAGAAATGACATATCGTAGAAACGTCTTGCAGTATTGCTATAAACTGATTTTGCGGAACGAGATTCTGAGGCATGTGCGAGAGTTTCTTTTAGCAAGAGTATAGAGCATCTCCAGCCGCGCCCCCAACAGACCCCCCCAGGCCACTTTTTCGGCGCCGGCACCGAAAAAACGCCAGGACGCCGAAAATCGCCGGTTCGGCCCGTTTTTGGGCCCGGCGATCGCAGGCCTAACCTGGCGCACTAGGGGGCGATCGGGGGCTCCGACGCAAGGGAAAAGCGCGGCTGGCCCACATCGTCAGGTGAAAAGTCAAGTTTTTCTTCCCCGACTCACCTCCCACCCCCTGCGCCCTCGACCGCCACTAGCTGTATCCCGGTGCTGCCCGCCGCCCTTCTCCGCTAGATAGCCAATTGTCACCGGAAAAAGAGCAGAGGTTCGCCGAGGCAGCCCCTCCACCAGCAGCTGGGCATTTTTGCTGCCGTTTCTGGCCGCGAAGGGGCAGTTTAGCGGCGGGTACACGCCCACCGGGCGCAACGTGTTCAGCGATTTGCCTGCCTCGGCGATGGACTCGGACGACGAGGAAGCGCTCGCCGCGTTGCTGGAGGAGGAAGCCGAGGCCAACGTCCAGGAAGAAGAGCATCTCATGGTGCTCGCCGCCCTCGCCCAGCTGCTGGAGAGCAATGAAAAGCCACGGCGAGGTGGCTCGGTGCCGGGGCGGATGAAAGCAAAGAACCGGCATCATCTCGAAGGCTACTGCATGCTCTACTCCGACTACTTCGCCCATGCTCCACTTCACGGTGACAAAACATTTTGGCGCCGTTATCGGATGAGCCGAAAGCTCTTCCTCATGATTGTGAATTCCATCCGGGAGTTCGACAGCTACTTCAAGTGCAAGATGGATTGCACCGGCAAACTTGGATTCACCTCGATGCAGAAGTGCACGACAGCGATGAGGATGCTTGCATACGGAGCTCCCTGTGATTCTCTCGACGACTATGGGTGCATGGCCGAGTCCACCGCCATTGAGTGTTTCTACAAGTTTTATCGGGCAGTGGTGGCAGTGTTTGGACCGCAATACTTGAGAACACCCAATACGGAAGACACTACTCGGATCCTAGCATAGAATGCAGCAAGAGGATTTCCTGGGATGCTTGGAAGCATCGACTGCATGCATTAGAAATGGAAGAACTGTCCATTTGCTTGGCAGGGGATGTATAAAGGCGCCAAAGGCGGTTGCAGTGTGGTACTTGAGACGGTGGCCACACATGACCTTTGGATTTGGCACTCTTTTTTTGGTATGCCAGGAACTCACAATGGCATCAACGTGTTGCAGTGCTCCCCTGTCTTTGCCAAACTTGTTGAAGGTCATTCTCCTCCAGTGAATTTCGAGGTCAATGGGCGGCACTACAACAAGGGGTACTACCTAGCTGATGGCATCTATCCGAGATGGTCTACATTTGTGAAGACTATCTCAAACGCTGTGCCAGGAGGCAAGAAGTCCCACTTTGCCAAGGTGCAGGAGGCTTGCCGGAAGGATGTTGAGCGAGCATTTGGTGTGCTCCAATCTCGATTTGCTGTTGTCCGGTACCTTGCTCAGACCTGATCGAAAGATCAAATGTGGGAGATCATGACTTGCTGTGTCATCTTGCACAATATGATCATCGAGAGCGAGCAAGAAGAGCCAGTGTTTGACACTGAACCATACTACATGCATGGTCCTCTAGCCGAAGTTGATCACCAGCTACCGGCAACCTGGACTGCCTACCTCAGTATGCGTTAGGAGATCCGAGACCGACAGGTGCATCATCAACTGCAGCAGGATCTGGTGGAGCACCTATGGAGGCTCAAGGGCGACGCCGAGCGCGATGTGTGATGAAATATGAGGTTTTATTTGTTGAACTATATAACTTGTATTGAACTATTTGTTGTTGCACTATTTAGTTGAATTATTTGATTTTCTGTGATGAACTATGTGATAAAAAAATTTATGTTTATAATTGAACGCCGAGCCACGACGAACCACGCCGAATATGGGCCCTTTAATCGCCGAAAGTGGGCCGAAAACTGCGCCAATATCGATGGCTGAGGGCGACGGCTGAATGCCCAACCGCCCCAGCACCGATTGTATTGCCGGCTCGCTCTTCTGCAGCAGCGGGCGAGCTGCCGCTGCCCACCATGCGAGCCGGCCGTCCCATCTGCTTTTTCTTTTTTCTTTTTTGAAATGGGAAGGCGCATGGAGCTGTGGAAGGAACTGGGGAAAGCGGGAGGGCTGTGGACACGTGGTTGGCGGAATAATAATATCGTTCACCACTTTCTCATACGAGGTAAATGTTTACTGGTTAGCATTTTAGAAAGACGACTGCGGCCTTTCCCATCGGCCATCGGTCTCCACTCCACCCGTGACCCGTCCGTCCGAGCCCAACATAATAATGGACTAGACCCCCTTTCCTTTCCTCTTCCTCACCCGAGTCTCCACCTCCCCTCCTCGTCACCGCCGACGCCGGAATCCCCACCCCACCCCTTCTCGCTCGCTCGCGTGTCGCCGCCGCCGTCGCCGTTCACCTTCTCCCTCATCGCGCCCCTCCCGCATCCACCCCGTCCGCAAGCTCTGCTGGCCATCGGGGTTTCATCGGGTACGGGGTTCTTTTCATCCGGCGACCCCGCCGGCCCTGCTTCAGGGTTTCTGGACGCCGTCTAGATCCGCCCCTGATTCCGCGGTTCTACGCACGAAAGCTGAAATCTTTGCATTCCGTTTTCTCGCGGTTGTGCTCGGTTGCATTTTTGTATGAAAAAAAAACAGTTTCTTTTTTTCAGTTTTGTTTGTTTCCGACAGCCCTTCTCGGGGGCTGCTTTCAAGTTGGGATCTGTAGCTTTCGTCGTCGTTGCATACAGATCTGGTTTGCAGCCCACGGTGGCTATTCCGAATTTCATTTACTGCAGTTCCTTTTATCGGATTGTTGCTGGAACGAACCCTCAAGGGTTTTCTTCTCACAAGTTCATTTCGTTCATGGTGCTTGAATGGAAATATACTACTAGTGGTTCCTAACTGATAAATATCACCAATAATTGGTATCCCGTGAAAATAAATACTCCCTCCATATATTTTGGGACAGAGGGAGTAGCTTTATTTAAGCTTCACACTTGTTTCTGTGATAAAATGATGCCTGTATCTGTATATTGGTTAATTTGTTCAACTTCCACAATTGCTATGCATGTAGGCTTTAATCAACTTATGTAGTATCAGAACTAGTGCTACGCACAAATGCTTACATTTAGTTCACTTGGCATATGCCTAACCTACGTGTTAACTTCATGTTATATGCGGATCAGGAAAGAGCTTTTTATTTAATTTGCAGGACATGTGTTGATTTTGTTTAGAAATACGATGCTGCGGTTTGACATCATTGTCTTCGACATCAGTGCTTGAACAATTCTTACAATGTCAAATTTATTTGACAAAGTACAGTAGTATTTCTCAATTGAATCAACTAGCACTAGCAGTTTGTAGGAACAAAAGCCATTTCAGTGTTGAAGCAGTTATGAATCAAGTTTGCAATGCCTTACTGTAAAATTGTGCACAATACAGCACTTCCATATTGTATTACTTGTAAGTCTTTTTCATGAAATATGTTTTTTTAACCTAACTGATGAGATTGCCACATTTGACATTTATGTGAAGTTTGGAGGTTTCTCTGAAAATTCTAGCATCCCAATTTCGTATTGCTCCACCATCTCTTAAAAAATGTTGAATCAAACTAGGTGTGAAACTGATTTGGGATGCAATTCCTGGTTGGTTAAACTCTTTTCAGCCAAACAAACAGTGGATCTGGAATTCCAGGCCAGTTCGGCAGCAATGGATAAAACACACAAGGAGGAGGCAGTGAAAACCACATGTCATGAAGATACTACCAGTACTGATGGATCAAGCATGGATGAATACGATCCATGGAATCCTCCGTATCCTCCTCCATGCCCTCCTGCTGTTGAATATAGCTTAAGTGAATCTATCCGTTTAGTAGCTAAGGTGCAATAATTAACCAACTTTCTTTTTTAACTTTATGGCATTTCTATCTTATCATGTTTGCTTTCCCTAGTATAGCTCTTGACGCCCTCTCCCTCTCTTTGCAGTGGTCACGTGAGAAAGAAGCTGCACTTGGTGCCCTCAGAGCATCCAGTATAATCTTCCCAGAACGCATCCCTAAGGTTCTCTGCATTTGAAAAAAAAAATCATTTGGTTATTTACTTTTTCCCCTGCAGTATTTTTTGTGTGCGCTACTTATGCAACATTTTTGTTTTGTTGTCCTATAGTGCACTGCTTATTTCATTTTGCTTTGCTAATCGGATAACTGATTTCCTTTCACCTCTTTTGATCCTGATTAGGAGGTGAATCATCTCTTCCATGATAAAGTGCACCATTTGGCACCCATCCTGGATAAGGATAGTGTCCGGCGCTTTCTCAGCTATATGGAGAGGAATGGGCAGGGCATGCGATGGGGTTCGATCATCACCCCAGAGGCTTTGAACCATATGATTTCACAAAATGCGGTGAAATGTGTCAAAATTGTCTTGGAGGGCCAGGCACCTGAGCTTGATGGGTGCCGAGCCGGTCCCAACTGCATGAACCAGTATGGGTACTATCCCCTCCACCGAGCTGCTGAATTTTTTTCGGTTGACATGATTCAGTTGCTCGTCCGCCACGGCGCGTCCGCCAATCTACTCACAGCCGGTGCTGAGGTCATCGAGGGCCTTCTCCCACTCCATGTTGCAGTTGAGAACACGTGTATGCATAAGTATCTGGAAGACAGTCTGTTTCCTAACCACGAGCATCGGGATTACAGTGAGGCAGATGCCAACTTTATCTTCAAGCTCATCCATCTTCTGTGCCTACCTGAAATGGTTTGTCTCACATCCACCCCTTAACAATTTACTACTCCAGCATAGCAAAGTCACATACTTATAAATAACTGACGTAGCAATAATACTAAAGGAACCTTAAATCCCTAAATCTCCATTTTTCATAGTCGGAATTGTTTTCTGTGCTGTAGTGACATTTTTTAGCCTTTGACTCTTTGTTGAGAGAAAACAAACTCTATTTTGTTCTTAACGAAGAAAATAAGGTTGTGGTTTTATTAAGATTGTTGTTGAGAACATAGTTTTAAGTTAATCAGCACTACAGTCTTACCTATAAGTAAATTCTAAAAGACTCAGTTTTTGGTCTGTGCTGGTGATTTTTGCAGAAGATCTTCTTGGATACGACTCGGCTGATTGCAAAATACACAGATAATCTATTGGATGAGCTGTGGAATTACATAAAAGAGGGAAAGCTTGCCGAGACAGCCGTTTTGCTCATGGCAGCTCAAGAGCAGATACGCATGGGAACTTCTCGCAAGAGAAATGGAGATAGTAAGCCAGATGGGCTTGCTATTATCTGTGACCGTATTTGGAACAACAATATTGCTTTGCAGTCTGAGAAGGGTCAGCAAGTGGAGGCAAGGATAAAGCTTAATAATATGGCATTGATGCTTGTTCATGTAATTTCCAAAGCTGGTGAAGGTCTTGATTCATACATTCAGAAGCATCTAGAGGTATCATTCTGTTGGTGCTTGCAGTTATAATTCCTCGATTTTCTCTGTTTTACAAAAAATTGTATATGTTGGTGAGGTATAAGCATTGGCTCTTTGGTAATTCCTGCATTATCTGATCAATATTATTTTTCTAGAAACACTGAACAAAATTTGTAATGTATCTACTTATTATAGGCTCAGTCAAGAATGTAAGATTTGTTTGGGGTCATTGGCAGTAAATACAGTTTGTAAAATGACTTTGAAAATATGAAGTTCATTTTGAGTCCCTCCACGAAAACTTCTCCTTTTGAGAATCGTGGTCCAAATTAGCGTTAAGTGTGGTTGATGCAGCTGGTGTTCGCCTAGCGCTGCATAGGCGCTTCCTCTTACAGTTTTGTTTATCGGTGTATTTGGGGTGCCTAGGCAGTTGTGCAGCTTTGGCTGTCAGGGGTGTATTTGGTTTGTTATATGTTTTTTAGGAACACAGTACAGACGCAGTACAGACGCAGACACACACTCACTCCTATGAATGCACGCATGCACACCCTACCCCTTTGAGTACATCCGAGACACTGAGGTGGCAGATCTTGAGATTGATGGAAGTCTCCATGGGTGCCTTGTAGTTGACATGCACGCTATACCAGTGAAAGAGTATTCCACTACCTTCTGTTAATATGCTAGTAATACATTGAAACCTACTGTTAGCATCGCACTGAAGTTACGAAAATCAGCGTCACGTTTTCCATAGGAGCTAATTGTTACTCCCTCCGTCCAGAAATACTTGTCATCAAAATAGACAAAAGGGGATGTATCTAGACGTATTTTAGTTCTAGTCTTCTAGATAAATCTCTTTTTATCCATTTTGATGACAAGTATTTTCGGACGGAGGGAGTATCTTGCATTGTGCTAAATGTTATTGTTCATGGTGCATGAGTAGAGAACATCTGCTAGTGTCATTGCTCCTGATATACTACCTTCGTCCTGGTTTATTAGTCCCCTTCGTATTGTGTGCCAACTGCCAGAGTTTGACCTTAAATTTTACTAACAAAATGTTAATGCATGTCATAAAAAATAATATAATTAAAAACTATGTTTGAATACGAATCCAACGATATAATTTTTTGTGACATGCATTAACATTGCGTTAGTTAAATCTCTCGTTAAAATTTGGCACAAAATACAAAGGGGACTTATAAACCAGGACGGAGGTAGTAATTTGTAGATGCTTGGCACATATAGTGATCAAATAAATAATTGTATGCTCATCTTGCTATTTCATAGGCTTTTGTTCAATTTCTGTTGGAATAAGAACAACTGGGGAGGACTGAACTCAATATATACTAAAAGTTGAAACAAATAGGAGTAGGAGATTTGTTACAAAAATAAAGTTGCCAAGGACAGACAACAGCTTACAAAGCTCATTGTCCAAAAAAAGGACAACAACAACAACAACAAAGCCTTTAGTCCCAAACAAGTTGGGGTAGGCTAGAGGTGAAACCCATAAGATCTCGCAACCAACTCATGGCTCTGGCACATGGATAGCAAGCTTCCACGCACCCCTGTCCATAGCTAGCTCTTTGGTGATACTCCAATCCTTCAGGTCTCTCTTAACGAACTCCTCCCATGTCAAATTCGGTCTACCCCGCCCTCTCTTGAGATTCTCCGCACGCTTTAGCCGTCCACTATGCACCGGAGCTTCTGGAGGCCTACGCTGAATATGCCCAAACCATCTCAGACGATGTTGGACAAGCTTCTCTTCAATTGGTGCTACCCCAACTCTATCTCGTATATCATCATTCCGGACTCGATCCTTCCTCGTGTGGCCACACATCCATCTCAACATACGCATCTCCGCCACACCTAACTGTTGAATATGTCGCCTTTTAGTCGGCCAACACTCAGCGCCATACAACATTGCGGGTCGAACCGCCGTCCTGTAGAACTTGCCTTTTAGCTTTGTGGCACTCTCTTGTCACAGAGAATGCCAGAAGCTTGGCGCCACTTTATCCATCCGGCTTAGATTCGATGGTTCACATCTTCATCAATACCCCCATCCTCCTGCAGCATTGACCCAAATACCGAAAGGTGTCCTTCTGAGGTACCACCTGGCCATCAAGGCTAACCTCCTCCTCACACCTAGTAGTACTGAAACCGCACATCATGTACTCGGTTTTAGTTCTACTAAGCCTAAACCCTTTCGATTCCAAGGTTTGTCTCCATAACTCTAACTTCCTATTTACCCCCGTCTGACTATCGTCAACTAGCACCACATCATCCGCAAAGAGCATACACCATGGGATATCTCCTTGTATATCCCTTGTGACCTCATCCATCACCAATGCAAAAAGATAAGGGCTCAAAGCTGACCCCTGATGCAGTCCTATCTTAATCGGGAAGTCATCAGTGTCGACATCACTTGTTCGAACACTTGTCACAACATTATCGTACATGTCCTTGATGAGGGTAATGTACTTTGCTGGGACTTTGTGTTTCTCCAAGGCCCACCACATGACATTCCGCGGTATCTTATCATAGGCCTTCTCCAAGTCAATGAACACCATATGCAAGTCCTTCTTTTGCTCCCTATATCTCTCCATAAGTTGTCGTACCAAGAAAATGGCTTCCATGGTCGACCTCCCAGGCATGAAACCAAACTGATTTTTGGTCACGCTTGTCATTCTTCTTAAGCGGTGCTCAATGACTCTCCCATAGTTTCATTGTATGGCTCATCAGCTTAATTCCACGGTAATTAGTACAACTCTGAACATCCCCCTTGTTCTTGAAGATTGGTACTAATATACTCCGTCTCCATTCTTCTGGCATCTTGTTTGCCCGAAAAATGAGGTTGAAAAGCTTGGTTAGCCATACTATCGCTATGTCCCCGAGACCTTTCCACACCTCAATGGGGATACAATCAGGGCCCATCGCCTTGCCTCCTTTCATCCTTTTTAAAGCCTCCTTGACCTCAGACTCCTGGATTCGCCGCACAAAACGCATGCTGGTCTCATCAAAGGAGTCGTCCAGTTCAATGGTAGAACTCTCATTCTCCCCATTGAACAGCTTGTCGAAGTACTCCCGCCATCTATGCTTAATCTCCTCGCCCTTCACCAAGAGTTGGCCTGCTCCGTCCTTGATGCATTTGACTTGGCCAATATCCATCGTCTTCCTCTCTCGGATCTTGGCCATCTTATAGATGTCCCTTTCACCTTCCTTCGTGCCTAACCGTTGGTAGAGGTCCTCATATGCCCGACCCCTTGCTTCACCAACAGCTCGCTTTGCGGCCTTCTTCGCCATCTTGTACTTCTCTATGTTGTCTGCACTCCTATCCAGGTATAGGCGTTTGAAGCAATCTTTCTTCTCTTTAATCGCCTTCTGGACATCATCATTCCACCACCAGGTATCCTTATCTTCGCTTCTCCTTCCCCTGGACACTCCAAGCTCCTCCGAGGCCACCTTACGAATGCAAGTCGCCATCTTCGTCCACACATTGTTCGCATCTCCTCCTTCCTCCCAAGGGCCCTCCTTAATGACCCTCTCCTTGAACGCTAGAGCTACCTCCCCCTTGAGCTTCCACCACTTCGTTCTAGCGACTTTGGCACGCTAATCCCGCTGGACACGAATCCGAAAGCGGAAGTCAGCAACCACCAGCTTATGCTGGGGTACAACACTCTCTCCAGGTATCACCTTACAGTCTAGGCACGCACGCCTATCTTCTCTTCTCGAGAGGATGAAATCAATCTGGCTAGAGTGTTGGCCACTACTAAAAGTCACCAGATGTGATTCTCTCTTTCTAAAGAGGGTGTTAGCTACAATCATGTTGTAGGCTAGAGCAAAGCTTAAGACATCTTCTCCTTCTTGATTCCTGATGCCATAGCCAAAGCCCCCGTGCGCCCCTTCAAAACCTGTGTTAGATGTACCCACGTGGCCATTGAGGTCTCCTCCTATGAAGAGCTTCTCACCAATCGGTACACTCCTAACCATGTCTTCCAGGCCTTCCCAGAACTCCCTCTTGGTGTTCTCATTGTGGCCTACTTGCGGGGCATACGCGCTGATAACATTGAGAACCAAGTACTCAACTACCAGCTTGACCAGGATAATCCGGTCCCCACGTCTCTTGATGTCTACCACTCCATACTTGAGGCTCTTGTTGATCAAGATGCCTACGCCATTTCTGTTTGCAGCCGTCCCTGTGTACCATAGCTTGAAGCCGGTATCCTCCACCTCCTTCGCCTTCTGTCCTCTCCATTTGGTTTCTTGGACGCAAAGGATATCAACACCTCTCCTCACCGCTGCATCAACTAGCTCCCGAAGCTTCCCTGTCAGAGACCCTACGTTCCAGCTACCTAAGCGAATCCTCCTAGGCTCGGCTAGCTTCCTTACCCTTCGCACTCGTCGAGTCAAATGCGAAGACCCTTGCCCATTTTCCACTACATCCGGGCGTCGATGTAGCGCGCCACTAAGGATGCGACGACCCGATCCTCGCTCACTTGCCACCGTATCCGGATCAAGATACAGCGCGCCACCTTGGGGGTGACGGCCCGGCCCTTGCCCATTTTCCACCACACCCGGGTTCCGATGTAGCGCGTCGCTGAGAGGGTTACGCCCCAACGAAAATCTTTTGGGTTTCATCTCCATAAGAGTGGCTGAGTTTTTACGTTGGCTCGCCAAGCCTATCACAACCCTCCTCCTTTACCCGGGCTTGGGACCGGCTATGTTGAGACAACATAGGCGGTCCCTTCCTTTTTGGAGTAGTCTACATACATATGTATCTAGACAATTCGAGATGAAGTACTGTACTATTTATAACAGAAAATTATATCATAGTTTATGGCTTTACAAGAATTTTTCCTTATCAAAGTATGAATTTCCTATTTTCTCCACCGCAGCCGTTGGGCCCACTCTTGGAGTCCGCCCTAGGGCCCTCAAAACTCTAGGGACGGCCCTGCTGCCAGAGTTTGACCTTAAATTTTACTAACAAAATGTTAATGCATGTCATTAAAAAAATATAATTGAAAACTATGTTAGAATACGAATCCAACGATATAATTGAAAACTATGTTAGTTAAATCTCTAGTTAAAATTTGGCGCAAAATACAAAGGGGACTTATAAACCAGAACGGATGTAGTAATTTGTAGATGCTTGGCACATATAGTGATCAAATAAATAATTGTATGCTCATCTTGCTATTTCATAGGGTTTTATTCAATTTCTGTTGGAATAAGAACAGCAGGGGAGGACTGAACTCAATATATACTAAAAGTTGAAACAAATAGGAGTAGGAGATTTGTTACAAAAATAAAGTTGCCAAGGACAGACAACAGCTTACAAAGCTCATTGTCCAAAAAAGGACAGATAATCATAATAGTAAATGTTCCCTTCCTTTTTGGAGTAGTTTGCAAGCCATCTAAGTGCAGGTGTGTATAGCAACTTCCTTTTGTAATGAAGAGGCAGAGCGCCTGCTGGTTTCTTCGGAAAAAGAAGTCTTGTCTAGTTTACACAAACTCTGGGCAATCAGTGATTCACAGCTTCACATGTGATGAAACCTGTCTAGGCTGTTACTTTCAGTTAGATGGAGTGGACAATATGAACACACCACTCTTTTAAAAGCCAAAACTAAACAATTGGGGCAAATTTGGGAAACTAAACAAAATAATGCCGTATATCTAATTAACCCAAATAACTAAGACAAAACATGTGTTCTGTACATGTATTGATGTCATAAAAAATACATCCATTCTACAATGTTATTAGTGTTCTTAAGTTTTTCTGTGGCCTTTCCACTTGTATTATATTAATATACTGTTACCACTGCAAACAATTCTTTCTGTCGTATCTCAGTCGTCATGATTCAGGGTGCTCATGACATATATCTCATAAGTTAAAATGGTCGTGCAGGTGCCGTATTTCATGCAGGTGCCCCATTTGGAGGTCATTGAACGTGTCTCGTCGATTCTCAAGGATAATGGTTTTTGTCCTACTAGTGAATGGACAGAAATTGGAAACCTGTACGTTTTGGTCAAGGACTATGTTTTGTATACATAGTTACATACACAACTGATATGATCTTTATTTAATTATTTCTTCCACTTGTTCTTGAAGCTGCCCCTATGAGGATGTGTTGTCCAGTGAGGATGTACCTAACAAATCTGGTACGTATCTGTGTGTATTGATTGAAGCATTTCTTTTAAGCTGTGAGGGGAAAAAATAACCCTAAATATTTTTTGTTGGATATGATACGATGAAAATCAGGGGAAAGTGACACAAACAGGGAAGCTCTAGAAATGGATTATCTACAGACAGTAGTGAATAAGGTAAATATACGAAAACATCATCTCCGAAGATTTATTTGTTTGATTTTGATGACTACATAGAATTTGGATTATTCAAGCTGAATTATCTGACACTGAAGAGCTATCCAATCTGTGATAAAATTCTGTCTTAATGCTTCTCTCTCTCATGCTAAAATACGATTGGATTGGCGACACAACGCAGCCAATCCTAGAATGTAGATGTACTAGCAAATCTCATGCAGCATAGTCATTCAGAAGCTTAACGTGTTAGTTAAAGATGCTTTGTGGTTTGTTGTACCTTTAGTCAATAAAATCTCACTCATTAAACTAAATTATGTGTAGGTTTAGTGACATTACATTCTCCATAATCACATTATGTAATATTCCAAGGCAGTGCTGCCGGCAGGTTTCACTGTTTGATGTTTTGAGGTTTCTAACATTCAGATGTTGTTTTGATGTTCGAGCCAGGCCACAAGAAAGAGAAAACCAAGACGATGGGAGCTCAAACTCGCCAGGAGAAGCTTCTTCCCATGGTGGAGATCAGTGTTATCTGCCCGGTCTAAAGTCAAGATCATCCCCCACAAATGGGCACGTCCTTCTGAATGCTTGGATCTCGAGATGGCTTGGAAGAAACCTACTCAAGGCTTGGATGGTGAGACAGCTTCGAAGAAGGAAACCGTCGAGGATGGGTCTGCTGCTGCAGGTCATGGCGTGATGGGCCGATTTCCCATGGTGGTATATAGTAGCAAGCCCGGTGAGCTGTTTACTACAATACCGCTCGCTGATATACCCAAATACATGAAGCAACAACAGAGAAGGCAATCCAGAAGGCTGTTTAGTACAGCGGTTAATTATCAGCCCAGGATGGTGATTGGTACAGGAGTGAATCCTCAACCCGGAAGAAGGCTGTTTGGTACAGCGGCATTGATGCTGCTCAAAGTGTTGAAGAAGGCATGAGGAGTAGTATAGAAAGGTAAGGCCACCTTGAATGCTGGTTTTCTTGTTCAAATTTGTGAGCATGCATGGTCTCGAGCTAGGGAACGTACATATATATGGTCATCTGATGCACCTTAGGTCTGAACAAATCGAAGCATCTGCAGATTAGCCCCCGGTTATGTATGCGCCAGTCAGTCATCTTATGGTCGTGTTTTTTGTTTGCGCATGCAGGTCGCGGCGGTGATGGTTGGGTCATCATCTTCCTGCCATCAAGTGATCTATCATATCGTCCTGTGCATGCTTTTGTCTCAAGGTCGGATGATTGTTTTGCGCATGACGTAACCTTGTTCAGAGTCATGATGAGGTACTGATGTCCTAAATTAAAATGTGCCATGCCTGGCAGACCCACGCTAGCTAGTGCAAGGCACCTACCTAAGTACTCCCTCCGTAAACAAATATAAGAGCGTTTAGATAACTACTTTAGTGATCTAAACACTCTTACATTTCTTTACAGAGGGAATACTATGTAACAAAGACTTGTGTGCTTGTACTGTTTGTAATGCTGCTGCGGAGTACATCCCGTGTTTGCTAATTCTTGAATTCCTCCAGTCTTGAATTCCTGTGTTCGCCGCTAGGAGAAAGGAACTTTCTTTCTTGTAAGATTTCTTTCTTGGAAGAGGAGAAAGAAAGGCGCCGCTAGGAGCGCTTCTTCCGCCGACGACCTTGGTTTATGCCAAAATAGCTTAGCGGCCAGTGCTACCCTAACCTTGGTGTCAGGCCTGAAGACAGCTACTGTCGCTCGTCGCGAGCCGTCAATTTCTCGCCTATATAACAGTCGGAGCTGGATATGACGAGTTCTGTGAATCATTTGCCTCTGGGCTGGGCTAAAACTCTATACAATATCTATATAGGACCGAGGCGATT